AACCAATATAAATCAATATCAACAAAACCCAAAAAAACATAAAATATACTGGCAAGAACAGATCCTAGACACCTTTTAAACAAAAACAATATAATGGCATCAGATGAACTGCCTCAACAAAAGATCAAACAAGAGAAAAAAATTAGAGTGATACAAATACATTCGAGCAAGAATAGATAAAACTCTAATGTAAGGTGCTATAGAAGTAAGACTTGACCCATATACTTTAATACACCCAAGAACTCAGGAACCAAAATGGAAAAAATGGTTCTTATTCTAAAAAGCAGGACAAATTATAACTGGTTAAAGAGTCAGTCACAATAAAAAAAACATCAAACTAAGGCACTTCAATATCACAAACAAATTACCAGTTGAAACATGCAAAGGATGCCAATTCACTATCCACACAGACCAATGTGGCCTCAACTGCCACATTGAAACATTAATGTTCTCTCTAATTATAATATTTATTATTAAAATCATCAAGTTTAATCAAGGAAAAAACAATACTTCCAAACTTAAACTACAAATATCTCCACAGAGTTAGACTAAATGGTGACAACAACCCAACTCCATATTGGACTTGATAAAAATTATTCATGAAATAATGAATACAAGAACAATCAAACAAATTATAAGAGGTCAGGGAAATTTACATACAAACATATTAACAATCTTTAAAAAATTGGAACTAAAGTAACAAATCTCAGTATATACTAATGGAAGTATCAAGATAGATATAGAATCAAGAATGGAAATAGAAATAATCTTTATCATATAAGACAACACATATTTTGAGCTCAACGCAATCTTCACAGGTCAAGCATTAGCATACAGATCAGAAATTCTGACAGCTACCATTATCTACATTACAGTTGGAAAAGGTAAAACAATTGATATATATATTGATAAACAAAACCTTATCTAGGACTACTACAAGCTCACAATCAATTATAAACTAGTCAAACATCAAAAGAAAAGAATGCTACTCAATCTATATAAAATAATAAACACCTTTCAAAAAAAGATAACCTGGCATAACACATTCAAAAAAGATAACAGTTTATTATATAAAGGAGTTGACAAATTGGCATATCAAATAGTATCAAACAAAGACAAAAAAAACTGTAATCCAATTCTCCACATATGCTTAAAACTTAACTACCTGTAACCATATTTCAATGGTAACATAAAGGTCTCTCAAAACATCTGTGGGGCTATTAAGCAAATCCACCAAGTGCAACTTACATTCGATTAGAAACATCTTAACATAAACACTCTCACCACTTGATTCATTTATAAAGAAATAGACTGGAAAACCAGCTTTGCACTCCTCTATTCAATACAACTTACCAACTTATGAATAGACAAGTGTGATTCTTAATAGCACAGCTTTTCTATCAAACTATAGAACCAAGAGCTCTCAACAATAGACAAACTTCACAAAAGATATTCCAATATATATAAAACAAACAGATGTTACAGTTACAATGAGATAGAATACAATGACTACCTATTCATCTGTCCTTAATACAACATTAATATTTATAAGAAATAAATAAAATATATATAGAGAACTGTATTACAGAAAAAATGAAAAATTTCCTCAAATAATAAACAACAAAGTTGAGTTTAGTACTAAAAACCTAAATATGTTCATCTTCAAAAAAGGAATTAGTAAGGCCTTAAACAATCTAATAATAAAAATAATGAAAAGTAACAAACTATCTAACACTTTAAAAAATATCATATAATACACCGGATTCCTAACTTTCAATATCTGGCTCAATAGATGTAAAAGGATACTACAATGGAAAAAAGAATAGAGAATTAACAAATCATTTGTTAAAAGAAAAAAGAAAAGAAAGCAATAAAAAACACACATGAAAGAGAGAATAATAACAAATAGATCACAGCAAACTAATATACAGGATACAATAGATAATATCTTGAAAAGACCATACAATATTTTCTATATCTTTCATATTAGTATTAATGTAATCTAGGTATATTAGTTCCTAGCTAAAAGCAACAAGTCATAAGGAATTCCTAAAAAATCAAATGGCTTTTTAATATGTTAATATAAGAAAAACATAAAGAAAAAGAGTTAATGGATAGTCTAGTATTAATTCAAGTAATATGTATTGTACTAAAATTAATAAAGTAGGCATGTCATGCTTTTAATATATATATATATATATATTTATAATCAAAAGTCAATGTCCTTATAACTTAACTTATGCCCATACTTTTGTTCCTATCAACTATTTTAGGGATCCATCTTTACTTATAGCAATTTATTTAAAGTTAACAATTCATTATAAATTAATTTAATAAAAAAGTTTTTTTATTAAAAGATTGTTTAAAGATATGATTCATATATATATATATCTATTTTTTATTTTTTCTCACAATAGATATTATGAATAAACTAGTTTTAAAATTTGATAATTTTATTTTTTTTTTGTTCTATTTTGTTGTATTTACTAATAGATCATTGTTTTATTATTAATATTTTTAATAAATTGTTTAATTGGATTATTTAGAATTATATTTTGCCACTTTATTTTTATGATAATTTTGTATGAAGTAAATTTTTTCATTTTATTAGTAAGAGTTTTAAAGCTTCTTTAACTAGTGCAACTATTTTTTCATTGTAAGAATTATTGAATATACTTTAACGAGTTGCAAGTCCTGTTTTTTTTTTTATTAATTCTATTATTTATATTTAATGTAATTAATTCTATTATTTATATTTAATGTAATTAATTTTTTTTTCTTTAACTATCTTTTGTATATTTTTTTTAAATCTCCATTTTTAATTATTTTTTATGTAAAGATATAAACTAATTGTTTGTGTAAATTTGAACAATATTATTAATAAAAACTATTAGAAATATAGTCACAATCACTATTAATTCAGTCCTTATATATGAGAATTAATTGTTTACTCTTATATAAAATTTGTTTTTTTTTTTTTGTTTTTTTTTTATTTGAATTTAAGCTATACATATTTTAATCTCTTCTTTTTTATAATTGATAAGTGATCTATTAGAGTAGAATGTTTACTTTTCTTTAAATCCAAAATTATATTAAAGTATTTATATTAGATAATCGTAATATACTTTTTCTATAATATTTTTTTTGATAATAATTTTTTTTTAAGTTTTAATATTTATGTAATTTTCTTTTTTATTTTAGAGAGAGATTTTGAAAACATTTTAATTTTTGTAAATAATTTTTTAATTGTTTTTTTCAATATTGTCTTGAGATTTGAAATAGTCACTTTTTATGTTTTTCTGATAAATTTTTTTCTATTTAAATATAAACCAATATACAGCTTTCCATTTTTTTTTTATTATATAGTCATTGTTTTATATTATTTTTTTAAATATCCCAATCAGTTTTATAAACAAGTTTCTTGATAATGATTGATATTATAGCAAATAAAATTCTTTATTATTATCTTATGCTCTGCTTTTTTTTATATTAGTTTTTTTCAAGTTATCTGATTCTTATTGTTTTTTATTACCATCCATAGTTTCTGTTATTTATTTTAGATGAACTTTACTGTGAAATATTTTGATTTCCATTTTTATCAATTTTCTTTTTAAATTTTTATGAACTGATATATAAATCAATACAATTACAATATATATATAGTATATGAAAACAAATATTTAATTTGTGATAAAAACAAGTATATACAAATAATTAAACAACATATGTTTTGAATTATCTAATTAGAACTTAAACTTTTTATTAAAGAAGTATTTTTTAAGTCATTAATATTAACTATATACTGTACAAGATCACAATAGATTTTTTTAGTATATAAAGTATATCAAAGCAATAATTCTCAAATAGAAGAAACTACTTTATCACAAATAGCAGAACCAGTACAACATCTTTTAGCAATGAAAACAAGTAATTACTATAACATCAATAATAATAAAAAATCAATATAAAAATATAAGTTGTGCTTAAAAAAACAACAAATAAATAAATGAACAAATTATCAAAGACAGCTATATTTAATCACTAATCAATATCTTAATGAATTCATCAAATATAATACAATTATTTTTTCTTTGTTCAATATGAAAATTGCCATTAGTTTTGTTTAGGGAGGTTAATATTCCCTGGTTTGAAATGAAAATAAGTAATCTGGTAGACTTTAATCTTAGAAAGTTTGATAGTATAAATGATATATAGAATGCTTTTTATTTTCTTTTGCAATTCCTACAATACTTAATGTATATTAATTTATCAAAGCTAATAAACAAGGCCAAGTTAGAATTTAAAAAAATGTGTGTGATAGATATAAAACCAGAAATCAAATGGAACAGAAAATGATCACACAAATATACTTAACATCCTCTCCAGATCATATATTTTAACTTTTAAAGGAATGCGCTAATGAAGCCTAAACTCATTGGTCAACCTCACAAGAGATATAACAAGCCATAAGGGGTCTAAAAAAACCATTAGCTTAATAGAGTAGTGATAGAGAAACACATCAAGAAGATGAATATGCAAAATTGCTTTACTGAATCAAGAAAATATATGTACTTCACTTAATCTAATAAAGTAGGCATGTTGCGCTTTTTTTTTTAAAAAAAAAAAAAGTCACGAGGTAGCTTCTGGTTTACTTAAATTGATTAAAAAGATATAGTATTATTAATATTGTTATTGTAAATGTTGTTAGACATAACAATTGTTACTGTTTTATAAAAATATTTGACACGAAAAGAGCGTGAATTGTTAATCAAATAATTTTATTTTATTGTAGAGAAAGTCAAAATTTTCCGTCATTCTTAATAATGGATGCGCTTCGGTGTTGAAGACGTAAGTATCCAGTGATATCAGGTCAGGTGGACTGAATAGCAAATATAGATACTTTAACGTTTCCGCCAAAAAGAAACTATTTTTTAAAAAGTTATCATCGAACAATTAGAGAGTATTTGGTGCAGTTGATGTGTATTAATTATATATAGAAATTACCTTTCCATGCTGTCATTTTTAATGATACTAGTAGAATCCACATCATATATTCCCGAATAACCTGTGGACGTCTTACACCATTTCTCTATAGACTATAATAAAGAAATAAATAAATAAATTATTTAATGATGTGATATACTGTATATCAGCATTTACCTGCCATATTTCCCAGGCGTGTTCTTGATATTTCTTGTCTCCTGTTACTCGATATAAGATGAACAAACTCTCGATGGTTTCTATCAATCGAAACTAGATAATTAAAACTGGATAGATTTCAATCTTTCGGCTTTCCGTAATTCGCTTACCTGGTCTTAGTAAGTAATAACTCGGTCCCAGTCTGATAATCCCATCCGGATGACGTTTATGAATTTCCGGGTTATTATTGTTCTTTAAATTTCCTTCCTCCATAATTTTAAACCAGACCTCTTCAGCACCAATTCCAGTCATTGTTATTCTGTATGACCAGTAACATGTTTCCGCTAATCTTATTGCAACTTCAAGGTCTTGTGGACGGTCAAGGACTTTTGATCCTAAGGCTAGCATTCCAGGGACGAAACACGACTATTATATATGACATACTTTTAACCGGATACCAAGTGATAATAAGTAATGCAAATACGACCCATCTAATTATTACCAGATGACCCATTTTTCCGAGAAACGCGTTATTTTCAGAAAACTCGCCAAGAAATAATAGGTCCGGTCGTTCCTTCACTGGACTTTCTTTAATTAGATATTTATACATGCTTTCGATTGATTCTATGTCTTTGGAAATGTGCGAATAGATGTGTTAAAAGTTTAACGTTAAGTATTTAATCCCAACACAATGATTTAGTCTTCACAAAGTCAAAATTTACTCACACATATCACGGTATTTATAGAGCTCATCTCCGACCAATATATATTCTTTAAGTAAATACTACGTATCGAGATTACATACGCGTTGGTTTAATCAATCAATACGTGAATATAATGTTAATGGCATTATACGTTTGACCTAAAAGATACCTCGTAAAAACTATCTCCGTTGGCACCAAAGGATACCGCCTCTAATTAATACGTGCACATATTAGAGTACAGTAGGAGAAGGAAAAACACGCCACGACGACACTTACCACTCAAAAATTTGCCGGTTTCTAGAAATGCACAAAATTGTTAATATTTTAGCACCCCGGACTGTAACTAATAATTAAGGTGATTTCAACCGAACCTTGACTAATTCTAATGGGATATAATCCTGGAATTGGCTTGGTCGCTTTTGAGATAACATCGGTAATATTGTTAACCTATGCGTAATTAATTTAAAATCAAGGTATTGTAAGTAACTATAACCAATAATTATAAATAAATAAAAATAAATATGGCAGTCCACCTTCAAAAAAAATTCACGAACGCCTGTCAACTGTGCTAGCTTTGTATATTCTAAACACGAAGTTCCTACTTCTGCTAGCAGACCACCTCCCCAATGACGTAGAACACCTTTGTTGCTGTGATTAAAAAAGCAATCAAATGGTGTCGGCATAGAGCAGAGAAATGACAAAGTACTCTACTTACGGGTTAAGATGTATACTATTATGTGGCAAACCTGTAGCACTGTCAAAAGCAGGCAGTAGGGCCACTCCTAATTCTTTTGCTTTCTCCAGAAAGATAGGTGCCTTCGACAATTCATATGCACTTAGAAGTCCCCCTAAATATCTTATTATTGTCTCGAATACATTCGTCTCACTATTGCTATTGGTGAAATTTAGATGGCTCACGAATTCTTTAGATTTATCAAATTCCTCCATTAAGCCCATTATCCACAAAGTGTCCAAAGAATCGACAATCGTTGCACCCCACCCGTTAAACTTGTTAATTCCTTGATTACTGACGGGTTTTAATTCATCATATCCCCATGCATAATTGGAGTAACCTCGCCAAGCATGAAGAAATCCATTTTTGATAGAATTTCGACGCTTCTCTCTGACAATTTTTTCTTGAGTCGTTTCGACAACGTTAAATTCATATTGAATCTTTTTTTGTGGAAATTTAAAATCGGAAATAATAAAAATTCCATAAGTTAAAAACCCGAAAATTAAAGTTAGA